CACCCACTGCGGGTCCATCCATGTATCGACCGCACACCTCAAGTCAGACCTTGGTCGATCTCTTTGCCATTCACGAGCATTCGTCAAGCGCAATTCGACAAAGCATTCCGCTCCTCTTACGATCAAGCGGTTCAACATGGCCACACAGACGACCCTGACCCTTCACCCGCTCTCATCCTTCACATTCACAACCAAGGATTCGCAGCCAGAAGAAGATCCGAGCGTAGCGGCTAGACTGCAGAGACTTCAGAACAACTATGAGGATATGGGCATGAGGAGGACGGTGGAGGCTATCCTGGTGGTGCACGAGCACGGTCATCCACACGTTCTGATGCTGCAGATCGCCAATGCCTTTTTCAAATTGTGAGTATGGCAAGGCAGTGTGAGGTGACTACGTAAGGTGCTGCTCATACAAGGGCTGAAAAGGGTGGGGTATTGGTATATGATCGCGCTCAAGCGACCATTTCGCAGCAGCATACATTCGCAGCCCTTTGCTGACGTCTACGCGCCGCGACATGTTTGCAGGCCCGGAGACTACCTCAGACCGGGTGAGGATGAGATCTCAGGCCTATCAACACGCCTAGAGGGTCAATTGGCGCCCACGGCTAGCGATCCCAATTCGTATGGTCCCAAAGGCGAAGCGGGCGAAGCTGGGACTTGGGAGATTGGCGATTGCTTGGCTCAGTGGTGGAGGCCCAACTTTGAAACTTTCATGGTGCGTAGGCCAAGAAGCAGCTCAGACGTTGTGCTGATCCGCAGACGTCAAACGAAGGTGGGCCACTCGAGGCATCTGGCTGACTTGTTGCGCCCTTCGATGCTATCAAGTACCCTTACGTTCCTCCGCACATCACCAAACCCAAAGAGCACAAGAAGCTCTTTCTCGTTCAGATTCCACCAACCAGTGAGTGGCCCCACTGAGCGATTCATTCGCTCATCGAGAAGTATTTTTTTCCATGCTCACCTCTTCTAACACCGGACCATTTTGTTTTGCGTTACAGAGACATTGAGCGTTCCCAAGAATATGAAACTGCTAGCTGTGCCTCTGTTCGAATTGTACGACAACTCTCAGAGGTGAGCCAGCGCGAACCAGCACACGTCGCTTCTCTCGCCTGAGCTTGGGCGCAGGATGCTGACATACAATGTCTGTTCTGCACAGATACGGTCCACAATTGTC